TTTAAACCTCTTTTCCTTGAGTCTGGAAATAAAAAAAAAATGTTTTCAGTCTTTAGGGTATCTTTACTAAAGATGTACACTGAACTCGCGTTGTTTTACAGTCTCTCTGGAGGAGGGCTCTCTGTCTGTTGGTCTGTACTTAGCAGCACAGATGGTGGGTCGTGGTTATTTGATTGTTCTTTATCGGACACTGTTTTCCTGACTTAAAGTTAAGTCGTAACCACCCCCCCCCCCCCCTGTATGTGTCAGGGACAGTCGAGCTCTGCGCTTAAGATGCCACCGTTGTTCGCTATCCCCCCGCTTGGCGAAGCATTATTCTTAAATCTATGGTTCATTTCTCCATTTTAAAAAGCCGCAAAGCCAGTACTGCGGTCCATCCGTGCCTGGCAGGACTCGGCCCCCTGACCAGGACTCACGCAGGGACGGTGGGGTGGCAGCACAGAGGAAGCACAGACTCTCAAATGTCCTCTTTTTTAGGAAGACGGAAGAAAGTCAAAGAAAGAAAACCCCTGTCCAGCGGCACTGTGAAGAGTTAAAGCCGTCCCAGCCGACAAGACCCAAGAAGCGCCAGCGCTCGCGGCCACGAGGATGAAGGGCAAAAGGGAAACCGAGGGAATGTAACGGTTTGGGTGAGAGCCGCCGCGTTCAGGCTCTTCTGCCGCGTTTCATTCCTTCTGTGTGTAAGTAGCAGGGGTCACACGCAATAGCTTCTTTCTATTTTACTTAAGGACGTGCGTAAAGTGGAGTGCGTCTGTTAGGTGCCAGAATAAGACAGCCTCCGTTTTTTTACAACAGAGGTTCCCGGGCCCTGGGGCCTGGGCCGCACTGAGGGCTGTGTGGACACCTGGCAGGGTGCAAGCCAGAAGGCCGCGAGCATGAGCACCTTCCTGGGCGATCTTCCGGGTCAACGGCGGGGCTGGGCGGGCCCGCGTGCTGCAGTTCAGGCTGGGGCATGCAGCGGCCTCTGTGCTGCAGCAATCCTGCGGGCGTGAGCAGCCGGCTTTGGCCTTTTTTGCAGGCCCCAGCCTCAGTGTTGTCAGGTGTGTCTACAGGCCTCTGTCCAGTTGCCCTCGGGGCCACTGTTCGCCCCGGGCCCTGCGGGCACCTCCTCCACGTTTGTGAGGGGGCTGCTGTCCTCGTGGCCTTTTTCTTCAGCCACCTCATCCCCAGTGAAATTCTCAGTGGACATTTACTATTTGTTGCCTTTGAACATAACAGTTGTACACTGTTTATGGAGAACAGTGTGATGTTTCGCGATATATGCTATTGTAGTTGAGTACTAATCAAATTCAGGGGCTATTAGCATATCCACCTCACGTCAGCCGATGTACAGACTGTTCATGTAAATATTGTTTGTGTATGCAGCATAAGAAGACTGAGTTGCGGTAAGCCATCATCCGAGTGTGTTTGCTAAATCTTTGTGTGTAATTTCATATCAAGCATCATTTATCCATTCGCTATATAAATTATATATAATATGTGAGTAGTTTATTAAAGGCAGTTATATTTTAGTTATAAAATGCGTAGTTCATATTGAGCATCTGCCGGCCTGGTTATTCGTCTTGGACAAAATTCCCCGCAGCTGGAGCCTTTCCACGTCTTTCCATGCCTCCGCTAATGGTTGCCGCGTAAATGTCTTGGCTGATGCCTCTTAAGAGCAATCAACAATGCCAAAAAGGGAGAGGCAAACGCCACCGCGTTCTGTATAAGCCGTGGCTCCAAAGTCATTGTTCCATGTTTCGTAATGCTGATGGTAAGCCATGTTACATTCGGGGAATTTTGAATCACGATTGATCACAGAGCGCGAACATTGTTGTGAACCCCAACGCAGGTTAAACAATGTTGCGAGCGATTTAATCCCAGATTTGGATGTGCCAACTCAAACATCTAGAAAACTGGCAGAATAATCTATGCCTCCCATCCTGCCAGTTTGGTTTCATTGTAGTTGACAACTTCAGGCTGCGCATTCATGGACCATGAAGAAGCAAGAAGAAAACACACAGGCCGGGCGCGCAGCGGCCCCTGACGCTTGTAATCCCGCACTCTTGGAGGCCGAGCGCCAGGCGGATAGCTCAATGGGTCAGCGAGTTCGACAACCAGCCTGAGCAAGAGCAAAGCCCCATCTGCTACTAGTAAAAATAGTAAACAAATTAATTGGCAAGCTGATATATAGGGAGAAAAGAATTAGGCTGGGCCATGGTGCCACATGGCCTGTAATTCCCAGCCTACTCGGGAGGCTGATGGCCAAGAGGATCGCTTCGAGCCCTAGCAGATGGAGGTTGCTGTGAGCTAGGCTAATGCCACGGACCTCACTCTAGCCTGGACAACAAAAGCCGGAGGAGACTCTGTCTCAAAAAAAAAAAAAGAAGAAGCAAGGAAGAAACACACAGGAGAAAATTCTGGGATTCTTTTTCTAGGGATGTGAGAGTACATCTTACAAATAAATGCCCTCAGAGACTCTGGTAAAAAAAAAAAAATCCCCCGAGCTAGAACTAAAGCTGGTGACAAATGTACCAAATTGGCCGGTATTTGTAGGCATACATACCTTCTTGTTTCCCTGTTCTCTTGCCGGCACTGCGCGTTGCCCCCTTCCCTTTCCACAGTGCCCTGAGCCCAGGGGCTGGGACGCTGTCTGTGTGTCACTGCCTCTATCCCTCGTGCCCAGCATATTCACAGGGTTCTGGGCCACTGCCCATGGCATGCAGTGGCGTGATGGAGGTGCCTCAGCCCTGGGTGAGCCAGCACCTGCTCAGCATGGCCAGCACGCCTCTTCCCAGTCCCTTTGTGGCTGGAATCAGAAGCAGTAGCACACGTAACCGCTGCTTATCGGCTGTTTAGCGAATTGCAGGAGTAATTACAGCGGAGATGATGTTCGAAACCCATTGACTACTCCTGTGTGGTTTTGTAACTTGTACCTGTCCGCCGCCCTGCTTTGTGAGTTCTTCTCACTTCATACAAAATACCACACAGGGCAGTGACACTTAACGTGCCACCTGAGTAACCTGTAGTGGAGTGTGGTTACGGGCGTAGATGTTGGCAGGCAACTTCGTGCATTCTTTTTGTGGCTTCAGGTAAACGCTCTAAATTTTATGATTAACGTGTGCAGAGCCCTTTAGCTTTGGTTTAGTGTTTACTGAGCCCTGCGTGTGTGATGTTGCTAATCAACACCTCATGCGCGCGCATTTCTGGGACTTTTACAGTTCTATTCCTCTCAGTCACTCTTTCTCTCGTCACTTGGGCTTCAGGAGGTGACAGTCACTGTTCGCTCTCGCATTGCGAGCACCCTGGGCCTCTGGCCGGCGGTACGTGGAATCCTGCGGTATCTCGCGTCAGTGTACGCAAGACCGTGGACCCTTTCGCTGCGGGCTGGCATGCGGGGCAGAGCATTGCGGCGCAGCCCCTCTCTGTCCTGTTTTGGAGACCCCTACGAGCTGGACTCCCTTGACAGGTGACTGCCATAGGGGGATGTTCCTGTCCGGGTCGAGCAGCTACTCTCACATCCCCGGGGCCTTGGGGGCACCTGTTGTGCACGCAATGAGGCCTCAGAGTTCTCATGTCTGCTGAAAATAGGGGCTGCAGTCCCGCGTCCCAGGATGGAGAGGAACACGGCGGAAAGACGAAGAGAGCCCGAAAAAAAAAAAATAGAAAGCGATACTAAAAACGAAAGGCTGTCGACACTAGGCCAACAAAATAACAAAAAAGACAGAAAAAAAAAAAAAAAAAAAAAGAAAAAAGAAAAAATAAGTTATATATGTGTATATAAGAGGCACAAAGCAACACAACCCACAAGCCAAAGCATGACATGGACCACAAAACAAAAAAAATACAATCCGATTAGCCACTCATGATCTCTGAGAGAGCCAAGAGGGAACCTGGACCGAAGAAGGAATAACCTGTCCTCTTTGGGCCATGTGTCTCCACCTCTAGCAAGAATGAAAGGAACTTTCTGCACAAGCACCCTCCTTCCCCTAAACATTATAGTGCCCCAAGAAGACGAGCTCATCAGTACCCAGCGTCTGACTAGCAAGTTCAAATCACCAAGCCCATAGCCAAGGCCTAGTAATTCAAAAAGGTTATAAGGAACTCTCAAGACAGTAGCCAGTAAAGAGGAAGATCGAGAGACATTTACTGGCATAGGAAGTGGCGGTGGCCAGAAAACAACAAAGGAGAACATGGTGGGTCCTGAAACGGGGTGGAGCCACAATAATGACACACTGAACATGGCAATCTGTGGAGAAAAACAATCATGGAATGGCCTCCTGAAAGCGACATCCCCTTGGCTTATACAACAGGGGCCAAGGCAGCTCGCGGGGTGCAAGAGGATGCTAGCAGTACCGCACTAGCAAATCACATAATAAGGACGTAGCAGAGCTGAACAGGGGCCCATAAATTACCAAAGCCCAACCCTAATAAGGATTAGTGCTCAATGTGAAAGAGACCACAGGGCCTGTGAGCTTGCGCACAGGGTAAGGGTGCTCTCGGGCAGGTGGCAAGGGGACCCATGGTTAGCCAGGTGTTCTGTCGTCTAGGCCACAGTATCCCTTTGGTCCAGTATTTTTCTTGTGACCCTATACAGAAGCTGGTCAAGCTACCGTAGATCATGGTAGAGTATTTGCTGCTAGCCTCTCTGCCTTTGGTGCAGCCTTAGGTGTGTTGATGAAGAATTCGATGGTGGATCATGCTGCCTTCAGATACACCTGTTTCGCGGTAGGGAGCTTGCTCAGTGGCTCCTCTTTCCATGGGGGGTTGTGTGGGCCGCCTGCTCTCTGGCACTGCGCCACGCGCCGTGCAGATGGATGCCAGGCGCCCAGGCGGGACGTGAGCAGGCCAGCCGTGGTCTGGGCCACGAGGATGTGCCCCTGCCTGTCGGCGCAGAGCCGCGTGTGGAGGGAGCCCCGTGCCCGACCTGCTGGGGAGCAGCCTTGCGGACAGAGCCTGCCTGATATGAGCGCGGCACGTCGATCCACTCGGACGCTTCCTTCAGCTTCTCTTCTCGCCAAGCCTGTGTAAGTGTGGGGAGAAGAAACTCCCTGCTCCCCCCGGATGGTTGTGAAGCACGTCTGTCTTCCCACCGTCATCGTGTCACCTGCGGCTATTTTGCGATGTCATCCTAAAGGGAGGTGACTGCTAGACGTAACTACAGCGCCACTGTCGGACTCGAGAGAATGAACAGTAATTCCTTAACACCAAGAAATAGCTGGTCAGCACTGAAGGTTCTAATGCTATCAGAAATTTTGTTTATAAAAAAAGTAGTTCGGGTCAAGACCCTTGCTGGGACTGGTGGCAGGGTCTGCCGGTGCCTCTCCGCTCGGTCCCTGGAGGAGACCAGTCCCCTGTCCCAGAGGTTGAACC